CAAAAGAAAACTATTTTGGAAAATGTTGAAATCTAAGAAGTATGAAGAAAATATCTACAAACCTCATATAAAAAGTATGAGGTTTTCTGCATCACTTATAATACATTTATACAACTAGCCGTTCTAATTATTTTTCATAGAGATGTTTTATGTATTACTTGGGATAGTGAAAAGAAAAGAGAAAATGTTACAAAATTCAACTGATTAGTAGTCGTCTTTCAACAAGACTGTTTGCCTGTAATTAAATGCTTAATTTGTGCGAAAACATTTTGATTTATTATCGATTCAAATAGGTTAGCAATGCAGGGCAATAAAGCAACTCCACGCTATTTTTTTTTACGAAAATTGGAATCAAAAACGATTCCTTCCAAATTGACAGAAGAAAACAGGATTGGAAAGAAGAGTTAAACCGTCAAACAATGGCTTTGCTATCTGCTGCGATACTGATTTCAAGATTACTGGTTGCAATCCATCTGGTCCGGCACCCTTTGATGCATCCAATGTATTTCGAGAATGTAAGATTTCGTTGACGGTAACATTATTAACTACAATATCTCTCATTGGCTCAAGAAGGTATGATAAATACTTGTAATCCCGGTCTTAGCTTGTGTAAATATCCTGGAAAAAAAACTCGGTAAATAAGTTATAGGGGAAATGGATGTAATGTCGGCCTAAATGCCCCTAATTTGGGCACATACATAAATTCAGTAATCGACTAAATTTCCAATAACAACCAACAATATCCATTAGTACCGTCGCAATGACGCGTTCATCTAGATACAATTGCTAAATAGCAGATTTTTAGCGATGGGCCCAATCTTAGATCCATAGGCCCAAAATTAGAGCCATTTCCCCTACTTTTTTGCCGAGATTTGCACACACGAGCCCGGTAGAAAAAACTAAGTATGAAGATTTAATGTTGTCTTCAACCTGAGTGTTATACCATTCGTATGCGTTTTTTATTTCACAGTTCAAATGATCGCATATGTTCAAATAAATTGTGAAGTTACTATTATTTTGTTCTCTTTTATAGGCTTTCTATTCTATTTCTATTTTGAGATTATTTATTTGCCTATTACCATGCTGGAGTTTTAGACTACTTTGATTTTTTCCTTAGCTTTTTCGGTACTTTCGTCTATAATATATCGTATACAATTTCATAGAACATATAAGAGCCTGTAGAGCCTGTTCTAAGCTCGAATTTCTAATCAAACTTTGCCAGTCAATAGAATTATTTTTTTTTTTTTTGATAAGCTTATAGTTTGCATGTCTAAAGCCAAAATAGGTTTCCAACAAATCGCCATCCAACATTGTGAGTATGAAATATTTCAATTTTGAGGTGCTGGGGGCAAATTGATCGCTGGGGTAAAATTGATCATTATGGGTTGCGTTTTTAGTTGTCACGTAGAAAATTTTCGGTGATAAAGATCATGAGAAATCTTGATAGTATTGCATCATGAGACTCCAATGAACACTTTAACGACATTCTTATAGCAAAAAAGTAGATTTTACTGCATAAATTTCAACTTTATTTAACTGACGATCAATAGCATTCAAACATACGGTCATAGGTTTGCAACGATTGTTGTCATTTAACTAAGCATCAATGTATCTGAATTATATTAGAAATGGTAGTAAAATATTTTCAATATTGAGAAATCAATGATTTTCGGTGAAACTTACAGTCACTTGCATATAAAGGGTGTTTGGTTTCTTAGTGCAAATATTTAAGGGATGATAGAATATAATATTTGATGAAAACAATTGTTCTATGCATATTAAACGATCAAATCTAAAAAATTACTGAGATATTGAACTTTCTGTTTTGATATATGTTTGCCATAAATTGACTCTAACTCAAAAAATTTAATCCTGATGAATGTGGGCGTCTTAGCATAATGAGAGAGAGAAGGATTAGTAATTTCCATTAAATTTCACTACCTTATTTGTTTATCCTTGACAGATGCGTGTATATCGTCTACAGGGGGAGAAGTAGCTCATCGATTCTTCCGGTTCGCCTCCTAGCATCGTGCTATAAGGTACCAGGCGATAACCAGGGTAGTTGATCGATAGCTCGATGACGTCATTTCGTTGACGTCTGCAATGGGAAATTCTCATAGCAGGCGTTGACGATGGGACGTTGTCGAGTTGTTGAATAGCAACTATCGTGGTAACTCACCGATTACCTGTCGATCTGCCAAATTTGAAAAGACGTCTGCATTGAATTGTCTCATATAATAATATTCCGCCCACTATATCACAAGAAAATGCGAGTAGCTGAGTGGAATGGAGATAAGTTAAGCATTGGGTACAGGACCAAGTCTCCCCTGGGTGGTGCCAAAAGATGAGCGCAATAGAATCATCAAGTTGCCATAAGGCACGGAATGAGACTATTGCATGGCTGGGTAGTCAAAGTCTTCTATTCGTTAGTCATTTCAGGTGGATTAGAACAGGTTTAGGTGGGCGTTGGCCAGATTTGGATTTTTCAGATGTAATCCTGGATGGGACCCTGTCATTGAACGTCGCGTGAAAGTGGAACTTAATGAAGGCCTAAGTACTTTTTCGTAGTTTTTAGTTTTCGGATTTGAAAGATCGTCGGTTACAGTGGCCTGGTTCTCTGTGTAATTACAGCTGATCTGGCAGTAACAGAGTAGCAACCGTGGGCGGTCAATCAAGCTCAAGCTCAAGCTCAAGACAGATGCGCGTATTTTGTCTACAATGTGCAGACTTCTTCAGTGTCTTGTACTATTACTCGACTTATTAGTACAAGACACTGAAGAAGTCTGCACATTGTAGACAAAATACGCGTATCTGTCAAGGATAAGAAAATAAGGTAGTGGATTTTAATTGAAATTACTAATCCTTCTCTCTCTCTCTATTGCCTTCCTTACACAGCTTAAAAATTTCCTATTTAAAAGTGTCCGTTCAATTTCTAGTAAGCTGCATTCAGTTACATTCTAGATATGAACATGTCTAAAATTTGTGTACGCAATAAAATGTATTATTTTGTCTAACCAAAAGATGCCACCTAAAGCGTTCTACAACTCTATTTTGACACAAACTTTCTGTCTCGTTTAGTGTTGTTGTAATTTTGTTCTAAACACATCATGTTGTATCGTTGATGAACTGATTTTGATGATTTGCATGTTTAAAAACCAACAATTTAAGGCTCACTTAAAATACCTGTTACACATTCATTTTTAATTCAATTTTAGCACAACAGGTTTTATTTTGAAGGGGAGTAAAAAATCTAATATTCTCAATTCTATGAACTTAGCAGGAATAAACTGAACTATGAAAAAAAGGTTTATGATATGTGTTTAGTGGAATGAAACACCAATGTTATTTTTGTAAATGCATACATACTGAAAAAGTTCGAAAAGGTCGCATGCTATAAATACTACGGCATATAACTTCTACTTTTTTTCTTTCATAAGTCCCTATTTGCCCCTCATTGCCCCGAGGGGCTAAAACATAATGTTTTTAAACTGTTGGTACCGAAGCAATTCAGTCTAAAAATAGATATTGCTCCCATATCTTCATTTCTTAACCGATTTTGATGAAACAGGTTTCAATCTATCTGGAATTGATTTTTGTGTATTTGTGTCAAGGTTATTGGTGATTTATTTTTATAAAAAAAAATATTAAAAATTTCTTGTATTTATAAACATTAGTATTATTCCCACAAATTTCTTATATATGTTTAATACTCAGCAAGAACTATGCTCAATCAAATCGATAAAATTAAAATCCAGAACTGATGAAATGGGAGTAAAATCTATTTGTTTTGGTAGAAAAGCTTAATTTAATGAAATGACCGATATGGAGAAGCATGGTGATTAGTATATCAAACATAAACAGTTATTATGTTCAAGGTGATGGAAGGAGTTACATGAATTTAGTAGCTAATTAGGATTAGCAAGAATTGTTTGGTGGATTGTTTTTAATGTGGTGTTTTTCATAGACGGTACCTTTTTGGATTTGCTTAAGGTGATTTCGATGGAACTAATTTTATTTCAATTACACACAATGGTATTTTTTATATTGAATAACACGGAGTCATTATCCATGCAGCATAATTATAATCTTCACGTTTTCGATTAGGGACTGTTCACAAACTACGTTAAAATTTGTTTAGAGATGCAAGAAATTTTTACCCTCTCTACTGCTGCATGGATAATCATCAACACACATCTCTAAACAAATAAAGGACCATATATACTCGAAAATCCCTCATTCTACATTCCCCACGATAAAACTAACTTGCCTTAATCCGTTTTATTTTGAAATAAATTCTGCCCGTTTATACTCAATACCCAAGTAAATCATCTCATAAATGGTTAGTATGAGTTTTAATTAAACAAAATGCATGAGCATGAGCATTGATTACCATTCATTTCAGTAGTTGCAACTCAGTAATATAAAGGAGCTTGGGTTCTAACCCACGATCTTCTGCTCAGTAAGCAAAAACGGTCGCTCTAAGGCCACCCCCTTACATCACAACAAGCTACGACCGATGATCGTTCATTATCGGTCACAAGAAGCTATACAATGAAATGAAATCCTCCAAAGTAGTTAACAATGTCTTCTCAATATACTTATTACTTTTCTGAATCGTTCCTCCAATTTCTGTTATTCACAATTTTCTACAATAGTGGCCTGGATGATAGATTAACTCAGTAATGTAATGAGGCTTGGGTTTTAACCCATGATCTTCTACTCATTAAGCAAAAACAATTGCTCTATAGCCACCCTGTCCCTTACATTACCACAATCTACGACCTACTTAACAAAAAGCTATTCAAGTGACAAATTCGTCACAAAAAATTTACAATAGCGGAATGTTCATAACTGTGAGATGAAAACAGGTGTAGGTTAGGACGTAATAACCAAGATAGAGAAGAAGAAATTAGAAAAGACCGATAGTAGATAGAAAAGACGAAACGTAATTTGAATAATGTCCAATCTACCCCGCCCTACTGGGGCTTACTGATCCTTACCTAAATCTGCACACGGAAATCCGGCGGCCATCAGTTCAGGATAATGCACCATCGGCGAGGGATTTTCCTGTCCCCAAATCGGTGTAAACGGCGATACCTCCGGCGGGAAGGGTGGTTCCATATGCTTTGTTGTTAATCCAAAATTTTCAAATAGACAAATGAATTCATGTTTCAATTATTTCACGGTATGTCAACACTCTGATGATTCACTCTAAACTCAAATCATGCACAACGAAAATCAGTAATCTATTCGATTTGACATACACCATTAGCACTCTCCCAATGATGATGCGGATCACTAGGGAATGTGGTCATCACTTGCACTTTTCCACTGACGGATGATGTTGATGCACTCACAATGCCTAGTTGCACTTTCCCAAATAGATCCAATCGATTCGAGCTCCGGCGGAAGACTAAAAGTTCATCCGACATGGCACATCATGATCCACAGGATGCTACCAAACGGGTGTTGTGATATTAAATCTCGTCCCTGTTTGCCACCCTCTACTCTGCTGTGCCCGCAGAACGTAGTTCGTAATATAATTTTAATAATTTTCCATCTGTGTTTCCGCGCCGAACATCCACACAATGTGGCACTAACACAGCTTTAAATGCCAGTCGTGCAAGGACACGGGAAGGATGCGCCAATCGACGTCAGGTTGCTAGGATGTTTCATCCCTTCTGCGATGCTGTGTCTCCGGGCCACCACCCTTTTTTTCGCATCGTAGTCGAACATACCTACTACTTCAAGGATAGCGGGAGCAATATGGTACCGTTCCTTCTAAGTTAGGGTTACTAGATGGTGAAACGCAGGAAAACAACTATTGTATGCAGGATTGGACTGGTTAATTTAAATAATTCTTATCCAATATCAAATAAGGGAGTTGAGTTCTACTATACAGAATGGATTTTTGTATTTTTCTATGTCTGCTAATTATGTAAGTGGCTTCCAGTGATTGATTTTAGGTATTGAGGTGATAAATAGACGTGCTAGTCCGACCGTCATCTCGCTGTAGTCACCGATAGACTAGTCAGTGGTACCGCCATCTTTCCGATAAGGTTAGCCTTGCATCATCCGCCATTGCCTGAATTGTAATCTCAGCGAGCGGTGGTACCGCGATCTTGCCGACAGGATTGGCCTTTCATCGTCCGCCATTGACGGAATCGTTTTGGAACCGCAGCAAGTCGTCATGCCAAAGGTATGTGCCAGAATATTGACTACACCACACAATCCACACCATAGTGCTATAGTGATAATTTGAAGAAATACAGTGTTTAAGTTGATCCGCTCTGTTTTAATTAATTTGAAAGCTTGAGTCCCTTTTAGTCCACGTAGCCCCTCCAGTTTGCCCAGTAGTGCTCTCTGAGACACAGTTCGAGAAGTCTCGTACTACTGAGTTGTTGTCAGGCAGAACACTAATTTCAAAGTCAACAAAATATTAGTTTGAATTAAACCCATGTAGGGTTAACTACCCCATTCCCGGCCTATTAAGCACAACCCGTACTCAGTCTTTCTTAATCTAGCGTAGTTTAGCACCAAACGGAATGTTATTATAACTGATGGCTTCCTTTCCGTACGTACCGTAAGATTTGATAAAGAGAAACAAATTGTTGAGATATTGTCAAAAGTCTATCACTGCTTCTTGACGCCAAACTTGGCCTACGGATTCTAAACTCGACCTAACGCATTGAAACGCAAATTAATTCATTTCGGCCTATCGAATGAAGATAAAAATTGATTCAGTCGGAGCGCTTCTTTTGTTTTTGAGAAAAATGGGTGTAAACATTCATATCACGCGCTCTCATTGATTTCGTTCGGTAGCTTTTGAACTGAAGTATCGTACCAAACGCATAATTGACTTGTTAACTCTGAAACAATGGATTTATGTAATATTTTCAGCTCGATAGGCCCAAAATGGGCGATTACGCCGAAGTAGCTCTCTACCATATCTCAATAGATATTTTAAAATATCTTTCGAAACTGATTTCAGGTTTCCGGATGAGGCCAGATCTACCTGTTGGTCCATGGCATGATGTCTATTTACTTGTGGATGTAAAATCATATATTTTGAGTCGTCGAACGGTACCAGTACGTGAAGTTTTTGAAGTGTCTCTTTTGGGGCTCTACACGAATCGGTTGTGGCTATCCGGAAGTGGTCAGATCCACCTGTTGGTTCTTATTTATTTACCTGTGAATGACGAATCACTAGTCTTGAGCCATCGGACGGTGCCAGTTAAAATGGCTGATTTGGAGATATCCTGGTCAGGGTGCCACTCTAAAGCACCTTCATCTTACATTTGTGGCAAATAATCAACAATCGGTTCAAAAATGGATATTTAGGAGCGAGTTGCAGTCTGGGTCTTTGATGAGAGTTAGGAAATTTCAGGTTAGGATAAGTCAGGAAATTTCAGGTCTCTTCATATTTCGTTACAAAGTTACAGCTTTTTTAAAGTGACGCCGGGTCAAAAAAGACCCCAATGCACTAGGAAGGTTGAACTATATCAAGCACGGTATTACCAACAATCAATACGAAACTAACGATTTTAAATTGGCTCACCACTTTAGTAGCCTATTGGTCCCAAGCAAACGATTAACGTACCCTATACTAGTTGAAATTCTATTACTACACTATGTTTGTTTTGATTCGCTATGAAAGTTTGACAGATAACATCAGGGGTGTGTGGATTCATGCAGAACATGCAGGGGTGAGTGAAATAGCTTGGGACTGCTTGGCACCGTTGTTCTGGTACTGAGTGAGCCAAAAATAATAATGATTTTCTTCGGGACCCAGTGGTCTTAGAGTTACCTCTATGGTATTACCAAGAATCAATACGAAACTATCCCCAAGTAACAATTTTGGTTTTATGAGGGTTCTGTAGACCATGATTTGGACTTGTAGAATGCTATAAAACCTCTATAAAGCTTGAAATGTTACTTGGGTCGATTTTAAATTGGCTCACTACTTGACTAGCCTATTGGTCCCAAGCAAACGATTAACGTACCCCATTATTTTCGAAATTCTAGTACTACACTTCGTTTATTTTGATTCGCTATGAAAGTTTGACAAATGAAATGAGGGGTTCGTGGATTTTCCTATGTTTTGAGGGGTGCATCGATTAGCTTGGGACCGAAAAGAGTACCAGAGCTGAGCCAAAAAGTTGAGCACATTTCTTCGGGACCTTCTGGTCTTAGAGTTACCTCTATGGTATGACCAACAATTAATTCGAAACTAACGATTTTAAATTGGCTCACTACTTGACTAGCCTATTGGTCCCAAGCAAATCGATTAACGTTCCCCATTCTAGTATGAATTCCAGTACTACGCTATGTTTGTTTTGATTCGCTATGAAAGTTTGACAGATAAAATGTGGGTTTAGTGGATTTTCCTTTGTTTCGAGGGGTGAATCGATAAGCTAGTTCCCGAAGATAAGAAGTTCTCGAAGAAATGTGCTCAACTTTTTGGCTCAGCTCTGGTACACTCTTCGGTCCCAAGCTAATCGATGTACCCCTAGAAACATAGGAAAATCCATGAACCCCTCATTTTATCTGTAAAATTTCATAGCGAATCAAAACAAACAAAGTGTAGTACTAGAATTTCTGCTAGAATGGAGTACGTTAATCAATGTACTTGGGACCAATAGCCTAGTCAAGTAGTGAGCCAATTTAAAATTGTTAGTTTCCACCGATTGGTATCATTGTGCTGGCCACACAATATACAAATTAGTTTATGCATTGTTTGGCATAGAAAACTCTCAATTACTAACTGTAGAAATGCATCTAGAACACTTAGTTGAGAGTCGACAAAAGGCTTGCAAAAGAGACGTAACAAGCCTAGAAGTAGAAGGATGTCGAATAACTACAAAAAACAGGGGATGCGAGAGTCTACGGTCCTTTTAATTTTATTTTTGCATGAACTACTGAGGGAGGGGTTGAAAACTCTCCGCAACTGGCACCGAACTACTCACCGTAGCAAGATAACTGTCATTAGACTGTGGACTATCCTCTTTGTTCGACTTGATCAAGCTTAATAACCTCTAATTGTACTCAACCTGGCATTGTATGAAGGGTCAAAAACGGTTAGGGTGAATCCGTGGGCAACATTTCCCACGTGCATCCACGGGATAAATGAGAATATCCTTCCAACAACAGGATTATATAATCGGTAAAAAAACACAGGCCATCAAACAGGAGGATGCCCCAATGAGATATACAATAAGGTTTTGTTGTTTTTGACATCATCCACATCCAGAGGGCCAGTCACTTTCGAATGTATGGGAATGGTAGGAAACCATTTGGAAATGCATGAAAATTTTCAGTTTTTATTGATTATCGTCTTTATGGGCAGTTTTAGGTGCACAAAAATTGCACGAGTACATTACTATGGTGATAAGGTAAATACTCGTTTATTTGTTTCCTCCTGTGAAAGCATGTTTAGTCACAAATCGTGGATTTTCTGATATTCTCCATACTGCAAAATGATTTTCCTACCACTGAAGGGGCGACATCTCTTGGATCTTCAGTATAGCTACTACTCAAGTCATATAATTAATTTCCATCTCCAATCACTCGGCATATAACAGCTTCAGTTCACCAGTACACAGTGTGGAAAACGCAGCACCAGCCCCTCACCGGCCGAATCAACTCACGACTAACGCCAAAATCAGAACCAGCAACTCTAGCGACCGAAAACCAGAGCTGCTTAGGCTGAGTGTGAAAGCACTGCACTGTTCAATCCATTGCTTATAAGAGACAACAACAAAATTCAGTCACTCACGAACAGGCGACTCACACCACTTGCCTTCGCTCACACAGCCTGTAATTGATGAATTTACGTTACAGTCGACCAGCAGATGGAAATGATGTAAAAATGATAATGACGTTTTGCTACCTGTCAAATCGTATGGGATGTTTTTGAGTACATCATCACTTTTGTGGTTTTGAATTTCAAACTTAGGCGTCGCATGCACTGGTGCAGTTTCGCGTAAATTCATCAATTGAGGCATATTTCCATAGAAAATGTACGCTCAGTCATTCAATGGGTACCATCATGGAAGAATAAACGTGTTGACTGAGCTACTGACTGAGTGCTCGACTGTCAGTGACTCTTTTACCTCTCAATCATTCAGACTCTCACAAGACAGTGAATGTTGAGGCAGATGGCAGTTCATATTCATATGAAAATGACTCATTGAACCTGACTGTTTTGCGCACTGCCGAAAACAAACGTGTCTGGCCACACAACCTCAACGCAAAAACACGACGACGACAACATTGGACAAACGCCTTTCGTTCGGGAGGCAGTGGTGTCACATATACAGATTAATCTGTAAGCATACAGATTTTTCTCAATTTTTTAATACAGATATCTGTATTTCCAGATCACAGATTTTTAG